ATAAGGTTTATACATGTAAAGTGTCTTTGGGCTCACAGACTTCAGAGAAAACCATCAAGAAGTCAGAATGTCCCACTGAATAGTCGAGGACCAGAATTTTAATGCATTTAAATTCAGCTTTTTCACTATTTGTGCTGTTTGCTTATTGCAAAGCTGATATTTTAGAAATCAGAATAAAGAAAAAGGTTCACATCATTTGTTCATTTGCATTTTCATGAACAGATATTTGCAGTTGTTATGCATTAAATCAATAAAAGCATTGGTTTAAAAATTACTGTTTCCTTGTTCTAAAATTAAAAAAAATATTTCACCGTTTCACTGAGGGGCACACAGAGGAAAACGATCCATTTATAAGCACATAATTTTTTAAATGTTTTTCGTTATAATTAAAACATAAAGACATTCTGAAATGCATGCTGTGAGGCATTTGTACACTAGAGAGCATCACTTCATAATTTTACCTGAGTACAGAGAGAAACAGTGTCACTGGTTTGAAATGTTGGTTCGAGAATTACAGATAAATCTTCACACTTAGTTGGTGATGCGTCAACTCTCAACTCCTCCCTCTCTTCCTGCCTTGCATGCACCTGCAGGTCTCAGCATTTTATTTATAACTACACATGCAAATTAAGATGTACCAGCTCTCTGTAAAATAAAATGGAAGCTGCTTACTGGAAATGTTTTATTACTAAAATTTGGTTATTCAGAAACAGTCAGCTGAATACTCATTTCATTGGTACAAACTTACCTTTATGTATTGATTAAAAAGACTAAAGAGAGTCCATTGCTGTGCTTTTTCTTATCACTTTTTCTTCCTGACCTTTGTGCTGCTGTAACAAGTGAATCTCCCCAGTGTAGTAATAATAAAGCCCATGTCTATTTATATCTGTCTGACTTAACTTATATAACCTGACCCACTGCCATATGCAGGTTTGCTTTGGAAGTTTTTTGACTTTTGAAATTTTTGTCATTATTATATGTATTTTTTTCAGGACTTTTATGGTTTCTTTTTACTGTTGCATCTTATTGCTTTTCTCTATGTGGGCAATTCAAACACAAAGCTGTTTATTATTTCCTTTTCTTTTAAAAGTCACCATCAACTGTCTTTTAGACGTCACATTAATCCCTTTGGGGGTTTTGCGAGTAAGGACATGCAGCATCAAAGTCTGCCAAATCTAACAAGCAGAGCTCATTGCTAGGCCACACCTTGTGATTTCAGTAGCAGCCAAAAGCACTGCTGATTTAAAAACAACAAATGCATTCTTTATTTTCTGACATTTGATCTGCTGCATGTCACCAAATGGTTTGGCAATTAAAAAAGAAAAGTAAGAAAAGTGCCCCAAAAGTTGCTCATTAACTTTAATATCCAAGAATAATCTACAGAAAGCTGAAGCTGAATTTCTGCACTTGTGACATCTCTTGTTAATGAACTTCAGAATGCTTGTCAGGGTCCTCGAGCAGTTACGAATTATATTGTGTTATGTATATGTATTTGTTATTCTATGCTTCTGTTCGGTGTTCCACTTATTGTATGTGTAGGCAGGGTGTGTGTATGTGTGCGTATATGTGTGTGGATGTCAAGCACCTGCAGGCCTGATGGGTGTGGTCCTGCTAGAGGATTGGCCACACCTGAAGCCCCACACACACCTGCTGCTGATCAGGCTCGTCGAGGGAGCTATTTAAGAGACCGATGGAGCGCCCACTGATGCGGGATCATTGCATGAGACTCCACGTTAGTCATACAGTTTAATAAAAATGATCAGTGTTCTGCTCTACCAGGTGTAACAATTGAGCTTAACATCCAGGCATCCATGAAAACGGAATTTATGACATTTAACGGAGTTAGAAGTTAGCAGGAAGTTAGCTCGCTAGCTTCTATCTAAATACAATATAGCATGTCCTGACTGCGGGGTTTTGGAAACAAATTAAAACGTACAGCTCTGCTATCACTTCCAACATAAATGAAGACAGAAAACTAGACAGCAGTGACGTTTGTAGGGTTACTGAAGTTGGGCTAGCTGGTATATAATGATGTGCTACGTGACCGCTAGCGACACAGCTATGTTAGCATAATATAAACAAGCTAACTTTTTTTCCACTCGATAAAAGTTAACGTGAGTGTTCTCGGTGGTCAGGAACAAATGTAATCGCATGGCAGGATGCTGTAAAAGGACCAAACTTCAGCCAGGAGAACAACTGAGATAATCCATCCACAATACGAGGTTAGTCATTCATATACTGCTGCATGGGCTGAGCTGTAGTTACATCCTAAGGTTTTTAAAAACTGAGCTTAAATAAATGATTAGTGGTAATAAAAGCCGAGGGAGGTCAACAGTGATCACTGACAGTTTTAGGAGCTTTTTGAGATCAAATAGAAGAAAATACAAAACATTAAACATGTTAACAACACAAAAGCCATATTAAACGCAGACTACTTTAGACCCGGAAGTAGGATTCGTCGCGTCATCACTGAACAATCGGATAATTTACAGATAATTTTTCCATTAATCAGTTTTCTTTAATCAAACTGTGGGCATTTTGTCTCGTTTTGTTTTCATAGTTTTTAATCATGTTTACCTATACTTCAAACAAAAGCACCAGAACAAACACACATTATTCACACATTAAACCTCACATCATCACCTTTTAATTCAATTCAGTTTTCATAAAGACTAGAACTTTAAATATAGCACAAGCAGAAAACAATTGAGAGAACTAAAACCATGACTGACACTAAATTAAGGAATATTAACAAAACTCAGAAAATACATGAGCACTGTGTTAAAGACCCAGTGCCATGACACAGTGCCAAGAAACCTCCAACAGAACCAGGGTCAGTGAGGGGTGGCCATCTGCTACGACCAGTTGGGGTGAGAGGAGGCAGACAGCAAAAAACATCAAATTCAATATGGCGTATAAACACAGACAGTAATAAAAGGGGAATGAAGAAAGACATCATGGGAAGCCCTCAGCAACTTAGGTCTATTGAAGCATAACTATAGGAGAATTCAGGGTCACCTGGTCCAGCCTTGACCTTATGCTTTATTGCTTTATCAAAAACAGTTAGCGTGGGTGTCTGTGAATCCAATTTGGAAGCTGGTTCAACAGGGGCGTGAAAGCTGAAGGCTCTGCCTCATATTCTACTTTTAAATACCCTAGGAACCACAAGTAAGCCTGCAAGCTGTAAGGTCTTTAAAAAAAAAACAGGACCCGATTGTTCGGACCTTGTATGCAAGTAGAAGTATTTTAAATTTGATTGTGGATTTAACAGGTAAGACAATATATGAGAAATATGCTCTCTCTCGCTAGCCCTTATCAGTACTAATAAATCCATTTTGGATCAGCTGAGGGCTTTTCAGGGAGCTTTTAGGGCTGCCTGATAATAATGAATTACAGTAGTCCTTCATAGAAGTAATAAATGCATGAAGTGGTTTTTCAGCATCATTCAGACTGCTTCTAATTTTGGAGAAATTGTGTTAATGCAAGAAGGCAGTCCTAAATATTTGTTAGACATACACAACAATGCCTCCTATAGGAAGTAGATGAGGTCAGCTACTAATCAGAAGATTGGTGGTTTGATCCCTGTCTGCTCCAGTCTTAATGCCAAATATCCTTGGGCAAGATACTACTGCCTGCTTTATTTTTGTGTATTAGCCTGGCTTAAAGTCAACAAAAAATATTTTCACAGTATGAGGCCTGTCAAGCAGCGTTTTTATATGAAAATAAATTTACATTTGAGAATGTTTTCAGTCGGAGACAGTCCCCTCTTACTTGACACTTAGAATCTCACCACTTGATTTGCATAAAACTCTAAATACAGACAAGAAGCCTGCAGGTGCATCCTGGAAATAGAGAGAAGGAGGTGTAAAATAGATGATGCCTCACTGACAGTCAAAGAAAATTCAGTTTCATTTAATACTCATCTTTTTTCAAACCTCTTTACTATTGCAGGTAAGTTAAACTAGAACAAAAAATATGACAAAAAGAGGAAATGCAGGATGCACATCAATCATTTTGTTACAATATTTTTTTATTATTATTTTGCTGAATAAACATATAGCAAAGGCCAGTAGAGCACATAAATCAAACAGTCACAACAGTAACTGCTCGTATTTTATAACATAAAAATGAGCACTAAACAAATGCCAGGAGCATTAAAGAGCCAGATAGATGTTAAATGCTGATTCTGACCCTTCTACTACTCAGTGGAACATTCTGACTTCTTGATGGTTTTCTCTGAAGTCTGTGAGCCCAAAGACACTTTACATGTATAAACCTTATCCATGTTCCAGTCTGATGTCTGGATGGTCAGAGAGCTGCTGATCTGGTAAGTCTGGTCTGGTCTCTGAACAGCAGTGCTGGTAGAGATCCCACTGCTCACTGGACTCCCAGCAGCCAACCAGCTCACATCTACAAAAGGCACAGACTGACTGGACAGACAGACCAGAGAAGCTGTGTTGGACTGGAGCTCAGCACTGGACGGAGGGAAGACTGTCAGGACAGGGGGAGGGAGGCTGGAGCCTGAAAATACATGAAAGACATTCAGAAACATTGAAATAAATCAATTAAATACTAGAAAAGTTTTTAAGAAAAGAACTGTGTAAGAGACAGCAGTGGATGAATATAATCTATCTGTTATTATAAATGATAACTTATTGTAGCCATGAAAAATATCGCATCTGCTAAATTAGAACCAGTCCTCTATAGCAGCTGAGATTTCATGCACAAACACACAAACAAGAGAACCATTTCAGGTTATGTCCTACAACATCATCATGAAGCAATTTACTATAAAATATAACTAATATCTTCCAGTAAAACTATAAATAAATAGTATCTAAAGCAGTAGAAATGTTACATTTCAAACACATAATAAACATTTACATCAGTCAGTATTTTTTAGTCTGAAACTCTTTAGTGTGAAATGAAACAATACCATCTATGATAAACGTTAAACAGAATACAGTTAGCTCTAAAACTGAACCAGATTAAGGTCAGAATGTTAACTTTAATTTAGTGTTTTGCCTTTTTGAGATTTGACTACTAATCAAGACTGAATTATTCTCACATTTTGTCTTTAAACAATGTCTCATCAAAGTTCAATAATACTATTGCTTCATAGGAATGACAGAGATAAATATCTGCCTCTAATCACGAAGTTAAAGAATTACATTCAACAGCATTCAAGCATTTCAAGACTCATCTAAGAGGCTTTTTCAGTTCTGAAGAAACGAATTGAAGAAGAATCTTGTATTTGAAGGCTCATTAGAATATTAATAATTAATGATTAAAAATCTGAAACATAAGATATCAAAACATAAACACTGAATAATATTAAGAAAATCTCTCCCACTTTATAATCAGTTTAAAAGTACTTACTTGTCACAATCAGCTTGGTGCCTTGTCCGAATACCACAGTGATTCAGTTTGTATACATGGCTGTACAAAAACCTCCTGACTGTCACTGATGAGGGGAGAGGAACTGAAACATCCTGCAGAGACTAACTTTCACTGTCATCTTTATTTTCCCCTCATCAGTCTGCTTATATTTCATAACACATTGAATGACTGAGCTTTTACTTTACTGTCACATTCAAGTTTGTTTTTCTTTTTTTTTAAGTCCAAATCAGATTGAGATGTGAGCAACGCAGTTTTTCTCATGTCTTTATCCACATCTGCATCACACAGTACATTTGTAACTTGTTATTCATAAGACTACGCTGAAGCAGTGGATAAGATTTATTATCTCACACTTTAACTTTCTGATTTCATTCAGATATAAAATCAATCATGGTTAGATTTTAAAGCTGAAAGTATCATGCTACCGGGTCTGGAAGCCAGCGTGTTGTGTTTTTGATTAGTTTGATTAGTTATACAATTACATAATTTCCCTAGGGATTAATAAAGTATGCTGATTCTGATTAGTTATGTTTTGATTTGTTGGTTTTCATGGTTTTATTGCCATTATTGTTTTCTGCTTATGTTACATTCTTAGTTATAGTCCTTGGGTTTCTGTTACCTTCCCTTCCCCGTGTTCCACCTTTCATGTTTAGTTACTCTTCTCTCTGTGCTCCATGTTCACTTTTCCCTGTCAGCCATGTCTCCTTATCTGTCTGTAAGTCTCCGTGCCTTATTTGTATTTCCTGTTTTACTTTGGCGGTCTTATGTCCTGCGTTCAGTGTTTTCAGTCTCGCTTCCTCCCCGTATTGTTATGTCAGATTAGTCCACCTGTGTTTCCCTCCTGTTTCCCATTCCCTCGCTACTCCCTGTTATATTTAAACCCTGTGTTGTTGTTGTTTTTTATTGCAGTTGTTGTATCATTACCCTATGTGCTCCTTGTACATTCATTGGTTTCTTGTGATTCATTAATTTGGATGCTTCATTCTGCCTGCCACACAGCCACACATGACAGAAAGGTTCTCAGTATGTGCCAGTCAAGTAATTTCAGCCATCCTTTATTATTTTGGAATTCTAAGGTAAAAAGAAGATTTGTCAAAACCGTGTAGTGACATCTCATAACTGAGTAAATATCACAAAAACAGGAATGGATGGTTGTTTGCAAATATGATAACTTAGAAACTGTTGACAGTGAGTATAAAAAGCAAGAGAAATATATAAGTGTTTCCACCTTCAAATTTGAGCATTATAATGTCAGTCACATTATATTCCTAGTTTATTCAGATGAGTCTTCAAAACAACAACTATAACTCATATCATCAGTGTTTCTGGTTCATAATCATTTTTACATGTCTGACATAAAAAATGTTCATATACAATATATTAGTTAATCATATGGTGGAACAACGTTAGTGCAGTCTGATGTTTGTCAATAAAAATAACATTTATTGAATAATACTTTCTTTAGGTGGTGAGTATACACTGTCTTAGTTATCAGTATGTGTAAAAATCCAAAAAAGGAGAAGTAACAGTGAGGAGGTTTTTGTCACAGTATAAATCACTGTGATACGAACTCATCGACAGAGTTGTCATGTGTCTTACAGTAATAGACTGCAGAGTCTCCCTCCTCCACATTTTTGATGATCAAACGATAATCTGTTGTTGACTGATGAGTGGATGTGAATTTTGGAGCAGAGAACCCAGAGCCATAGGTTGGAGAACCCCAGCTATGATGAAACCTCAGCACAAACTGAGGAACTTCTCCTGGAACCTGTTTATACCACCGAGCATTACTGCCAGTAACAGTCCCCAGGTTACAGTCCATGGTGGCTGTCTCTCCTTTCCTCACTGATAGAACAGGAGGTTTCTGTGTGAGCACCGTCACACCACTCACACCTACAAACAACAAGAAGACATGAAGTCAAGAGAAACAAACAACCTAATAAATCTTTCTTGAGGTCCGATTGGACGCATAAGTCCTCTTTACATGTTAATGCAGTGATCAGAGTACAGAGAGTCAGCAGCATGTTGTCGATGTGAGCTGAGAATTGACAATAAAATGTGAAGAAAAATGTGCTGGTTAAGCCATTTAATATAACCAGGAGAAGGAGGAGCTGGGACTCTCTCTCTCTCTCTCTCTCTCTCTCTCTCTCTCTTTCTTTCTGGATTGTTTCCTTTATTAAATTCTATTAAATTATCTATCATTTCTGATTTAACTACATATCTTTTTACCACTGCCACTAGATTGAGCCTTCACATTTATCATTCAATGAAATCAAGTAGAGATTTCAGCTTTTGCTTAGTGTGGACCATTCTTTTGTAAAGTTTATATATCTGAAATAAAAGGAAGCTGGTAAAACTCATATAAAAAAGTAATACTGCTATTACTGTGACTATGACTAATGGTAACATTGAAACAGGAGTTTCAGGTGCATTGGAAGACTTTAAACATTGGGGGCTTAGTACAGCGCTGAAATCTTTTGGAGTTTCTCTTAATAACAGCACCTTTTTAATTAAAAGGTTATTTATCATATTTTATTGTCAAATTAATATAATTATAGATATATAAAATATCAACCAATATGTACTGCCTAGAGCTTGATGTCACAGAATGATACTGAAATAAACAAACAGTGAAATTTGATTTCTTTTTGTTTGTTACTATTTGTTATTTTAAGCAACAGGAGTAAAACCTTCAGAAAAACAAGTGAAAATGTTGATGAAGTATTCATATGTGAGACAGTATGCTGACAGTACTTAGTTCAATTTTTAAATTTTCTGATTCATCAAAACTAATTTAAGAGCAATATATGACTGACTTTTTTGTGTGTATTAGTGAATCATATCGTGAAACAACATTATTGTTTTCTGATGTTTGTTAATAAAAATAGCATTTATTTAAAATGCTTTCTGTGGGTGGTGAGTGTACACTGAGCTTTCACTTATGTCTTTGTTATCAGTATGTGTAAATCTCAAAAAGCAGAAGTAACAGTGAGGAGGTTTTTGTCATGATGTAAATCACTGTGATACATGCTCATCAACAGAGCTGTCCCATGTATGGCAGTAATAGACTGCAGAGTCTCCCTCCTCCACATTGCTGATGATCAAACGATAATCTTTTGTTGACTGATGAGTGGATGTGAATTTTGGAGCAGAGAACCCAGATCCATATTTTGGAGAACTCCAGCTATGAAACATCCTCAGCACATGCTGAGGAACCTCTCCTGGAATCTGTTTATACCAACGAGCATCATTAGTAACAGTCCCCAGGTTACAGTCCATGGTGGCTGTCTCTCCTTTCCTCACTGATAGAACAGGAGGTTTCTGTGTCAGCACCGTCACACCACTCACACCTGCAAACAACAAGAAGACATGGAGTCAAGAGAAACACACTGAAATTAGTATATATGTGTGCAATATAAGTCAAAGTGTTTACATGTTAGAGCAGTGATGAGAGCACAGAGAGTCACCAGCATGTTGTCACTGTTTGACGAAAGATAGACTTGCAGCTGTGAAATGGACTGTACTGCTTTTGTTGGATGAAGAGGGGAGGTGCTGCAGGAGCAATTTTATAAAACAACTAACAAGAGGAGGAGCTTCAAAAATGTATATGCAACATTTTTTTGTCTTTACTATGTTTATGTCTATTTGTGTTGGTCTCCCGTCTATCAACCCATTACAACATTATTCTTTTTTCTTTCTTTTTTAATGACCTTTTTGTTTCCTTTTGTTCATACTCACTCTGAATATATCGATCTGCATGCATCTCTCTGCTTTAGATTAGACCTAAAACTTTCATTTTTGCTAAAGCATATAGTTAGGACTGGATCAGGTGACCCTGAATCCTCCCTTTTTTTATAGTGCAATATATCAAGGCAGCTGGGGAATTCCTATGATTCACTGAGTGTTTCTTCTTCAGTCACCTTTCTCCCTCACTATGTGTCTATACTGAATTGTTTCCTTTGTTAAATTCTCCTAAATTTTCTATATTTTCTGATAAATAATGTCAAGTGCTTTTAATAGGTATCTTTTTACCACTGCCACTGGTTTGAGTCTTCACATTTATCATCAAATAATATACTGACACTACTACTGATTAATTATACCTGGTGGTAATATTAGTGGTAGCAACACTGGGCTCATCTAACAAACTGAGGTGTAATGTTGTTAAAGATGAAGGTAATTAAAAAAAAACAAGTTCATTCATTATCAGTATTTTTTCACTCCTTATGGAATGACTGGAAATATTTAATGTTTTTCAGAATTCATGGAAGCTGTAGTGTCTAATTCACGTTTTCCTTGCAATATTGAATTACTGTGCTTTATTTACCGAGTCACCCTATCCCAAAGTCTTTCTGTGGAGATTGCTGTTCTAAAGATGAGGAATTTCCCAGAATATACAGAAGACACAAACTGATGTGCAGCAAAAACCTTTAATTTAAATTATTTCCAAATTATTTCTGCTGATCTACTAGTATTTTCCCACACAGTCATCTCTGGGGTTTACATAGTCATATGGGCCCAAAAAAAGTAAATATCCAGTAAGTGTCAGTTCTCTGGAATAAAAATGCCTTGTTGATGCCAGAAGTCAAAGGAGACTGCTTCAAGCTGATAGGAAGGTAACAGTAACTCTGTCAACAACTTTTTACAGACAAGATATTCAGAAGAGCATCACTGAACAGACACACATCAAACCTTGAAGCAAATGAGATACAGCAGCAGGCACTGATCTGGTGTCACTCCTGTCAGTTAACAACAGGAAACTGTGTCTACATCTCACACAGATGATTCATCTGATTCATATTTCCTCTAATAAGCCTCCACAGATCAAAATATAATGAAGCTTTAAGTTAATTTGAAGCAAAACCACAATGCAGTAGTTCACAGTGATTCCTTTATATCAACTACTTATTACCTCAATACTTTTAAATAAAATCACACTCTTCAGTGGCTGAGACTGATTGGACAATGACTCCCCCTTGTGGGGAAAATATATTCATTTTACAATGCTATTTATTTTTTACACATTTATTTTCTTTCTTATTTACTTAACAACTTATTTATTTGACTTTCAGCATCAGTGACTTTAACTTTTGACTCTTATATTATCTGAATAGTTATTTACCATTTAACATCTTTGAGCCTTCAC